GCCGCTGCGGCTCCCCGATGCGCCCGAGCACGCGTCGGACGACTCCTCGGCGCACGCCATCTCCCTCACGTCGTGCGTGACCAAGGGCATGAGCTCCTGGTCGCTGCCGGGCGACTGCGAGAAGGCTCCCTTCACCATCATGGAGCCCGGGGGCATGTCGGCGCTCACCGGCGACTGCCTCATGCAGCCGAGCCGGACCTGCCTGGGCTGCTTTATTGAATCAAAGGACGGCATTGATGCGGAGCCGGGAATAAGCCTGAAAGTGGGTGATATAAATAGGGATTATGACACCTGTTCGGTCTCTGATATAGGGATTCACTGCATGAGCACAGGAGAAACCATGAGATACGGGGATCAACTGCTTTCAGACCAGCTTTTAAGCTTCCCTATGCATAAATCGAGGGCAGCAGACAAAAGGGATGCAGAAAAATCTGACAGTGATTCAGAGGACCCCACTCAGAAAAATTATTACGAGGGATTACTACTAGACAAATGCAACGGTGAGGAACCTTTACTAACAAATCCGAACCAGGAATGGGGCTATTTTGAATCTTTCATTAGCGAAAGTAAAATTGAGCTGCTTGACCTTTGCTCCAAAAATGAGCTTTCTGTAAATCTGTTTTCGGAGGAGGATGTGGATAATTACATGTTTGATGATGACGATTCAACCTTGGGAAGCGACGTCTGCTCCTTAAAGATTAGATACGAATCTTTCCAGGACAACGTGCGTGAGAAGACCACGGCCCTGCAAGAGGATGCCCAGTTCAACTTCTTCCCCAGCGTGTTCAGCAACTGCACTAAGAGGGACAGCAGGAGCAGCCTGAAAAGGGGGCCGGGGGGGGCCACAGACCCTTCTCAGTTCAAGTCTGAAGAAGGCATCATCTGGGGGGAGGAGGAGGAGGAAGGGGAGGAAGAGGAGGGCGAGGAGGAGGAGAAAGCTGCCTTAAATAAATCATGCAACAGTGCGGAGATGGTGCAGTACGTGGGCTCCAAACGGAGCCACTTCTTGGACTCGGTGAATTCCACGGAGGACTCCGGGGAGTTCAGTGACGACAGCACCTGCACCGAGTCCTCCTACGATGTGCTGCGGGATATCAAGGACTGCAGCCGCTACCTGTCCAGGGAACACTCCACTTCCTTCATCCAGCAGAACTACGGATTGCGGGCAAAGAGGAAAGTGCGATACAGCGACGACTACCTGTACGACGTGGACTCCATCGAGAACGAGAAGATCCTGGATAAGAAAGAGTGGCTCCCTGACGGGCCCAAGGAAGAAGACGACGACGAGTGGTGCCCAAAGAAAAGACGAAAAGTCTCTCGCAAGGAGCCCCCTGTTATCATCAAGTACATCATCATTAACAGGTTTAAGGGGGAGAAGCATATGCTGGTGAAGCTGAGCAAAGTGGATGCCAATGAGACGACCGTCACCCTGAACGAGGAGCTGCTCAGCAAATACGAGAAGCTGGCCCCGCTGAAGGGCTTCTGGCAGGAGAGGCAGCAGAGCCGCATGGATTTGCTCCGATCGTCTCTCTACCACAAGCAGAATTTCTATCTTAACGGCTCAGATGCTTCGTTCCTCCCTCACCCACGGAAGCGAAAATGCAAGCTAGCAAACAGGCACAGGATTCAGAGAATTAAAGCCATCGAGCAGTCGGTGAGCAAGCTGGGCTCCTGCTCCGTGGATCCCAAGCAGCCTTGCAGCAGTAAGGAGGACACGGGCCTGAAAGGGCTGCAGGCGCTGGCCATCGCCACCCCCGGCTGCGCCAACGGCCTGCATGTGAGTGACATCCCCGGCCTCACCGCCGTGAAGTGCAAAGCGCAGGAGCGGGACCTGAAGGGGACAGAGAGGAAAGTGCTCCGCCGAATCAAGTTCAAAAGCGAAGCCAGGTTGAAATGCAAGAAAATCAAAGCTGCTGCCAGTACAGCGGAGGGCTCCCCAGCGCTGGAAAACCTGGACCCTGCAGTTCGTTTGAAGGACGAAGATATTCCTTGTGCTTCAGACAGCTCCCATCTTCCGGAGTGCCCCGAGGATAAGATTGCTAAAAATGCTGCTTTCCTCCCATCCACCTCCTCCTCAGGCAAGCCT